TCCTGCTGATAATTGCCCCTTCCTGTTGGGCTAATTTCAGGTGCTGTCACTGAAGTCAAAACAGACATTTATGTGACCAGTTTTGGGCCCGTGTCAGATGTGGAGATGGTAAGTGAGCTCGGAGTTCAGTGTTTTTACTTAGAGAAAGAAAAAAATAGTCCCAAAACAAATGATAAAGGACATTGCCAAAAATTCGTCTCCAAATTCATGATGCAATATGCATTTGCATGCTGGGAGGACAGTCATCAGAGCAGATTCCTGGCATAATCTCCTTCACGTTTGACTAAAGGTTCTGCGAGAGCATTTTAAGCTGAGGGGCTTTTTAAGACTATCTTCTCTCTTCCATCCACACATCATGTATGGATAACCATTCTTTAAGATTTTTCTGTTTGTCATGAAGTCCTAGTCAATTGACTGAATTAGGAACACGCACACACACACAGAGATCTTGTTCCATATGAGATCATATTGAGGACATGCCTGAAACTTAAATGACAACTGTCTTTGTAGTACATCATCATCAATGTGTTTTATTAAAACTGTAAAGGGAGGCATTTGGAAAGGCTAATGCATTTAACCTTTTACACTGCGGATGAACCAGTAGGTGTTCTGGAGACTCTGTTCCAGGTACAGATGGTTGTCGGCTTCGTAAGATGGTATTTATAATAGGTGGCAATGAAAAGCTGAACTCGTCTTCTAAAACAGTATGTACCATGATAGTCCCTCACAGTTCTCAGGTGGCATATCCTCCCTAAATTAAACATAAATCCTAATGTCTAAATAAACATATCAGTGTTTACAGAGGCGTATCATTAGTTTTTATCAGAAAATGTAATTCTTCATTAAAAATTATTGGAGACATTTTTATCATCTGCTCTTTAAGCTGATAAAAAAAGAAGAAGAAAAAAGAAGATAGAAAGGAAAAAGAAAAAAGAGGGAGTAAAGAAGAAAAGGAAGAAAGAAGTGAGAAAAAGGGGGAAGAGGGAGAATAGGGATTATTCAAAAGATAAATATCTTAAAACTTGAGGAGGAAGGATAGTCAGCATTTTTCAGGATTCTGCATTCACTTAATATCATATTTTTCTTTCAACTATTGACTCACCTGAGTATAAATAGTGATGATAATTTTCTACTATATTATTGAAGTCTGGGTATACTTGAAATTTTATCTCATGCATGTATCTCTTTTAAAAGTATATTTGTACAATAGAGCCCCAGAATAACCTGGAACATTGTTGTATGGGTGTATTATGTGTCAAAATGTGTTTTTCAAATATAGTTTCTACTTGCAGTAATAAAGCAATTTATAAAGTAGGCAAAGCAATTATTGACAATACTTTGATATAATTACGAGTTGTCAATGTCGTTGACTTTTGCAATAGACCTTATCATAATTCTTGAACATTTTAATGTGACTTCATAAAGGCCACAAATTCAAACTCATAATTTTGATCATGTATACTTAAATGGAGCTCTGTTTAGAATAATCATGGTAATATTTGCTTTTACACGCCCTGAGAACAATATAAAATAATCATGATGTGTAGCCATAGTGTGCTTACAAACTGAAGTGTTCCTGTACTTGAAATTTTACTGACTGTTATAATGATGCTCTGAGAAGTTTTTGAAGGTGAATGAGGTACTAAGGGGAATAGTTAGACTCCCTGGTGGTGGAAACATCAGCACTCAGCATAAACTTTAAAAATTTCCATTTTTTTTTCTAAATTAAGATAGGTTATAAAGATAGGTCGATAGATTGGAGAAATGTATGACTGAATAGGAAAGAAAAATATCTAGGAAGGCTTAGGTGGAGGGGAAGGTTTGCACAACATAGCACTGTCTTTATAATAATATTACAAATTTTCTGAGTTTGAGAAAAATAATTATTTGCCAAAATTATAGATTTCCTGAGAAGTTATAATCATAAAAACTTGCTTTATTGTTTAAATTTTTAAAAATGTATTTATTTGTTTATGTTGATTTGACCAGAGAGGAACAGAGTGAGAGAGTGAGAACAAGAGAGAGAGAGAGAGAGAGCGAGAGAGAGAGAGCGAGAGAGAGAGAGCGAGAGAGAGAGAGCGAGAGAGAGAGAGCGAGAGAGAGAGAGAGAGAGAAAGCTGCCAAGTCTGGGACTAGAACCACGGTAGGCCATGTGGGAGTCCAGTACCCTTAACTACACCACCTGCCGACCCTGTTGCTTAAGTTTTAAGATTGGGTATATAAGTGAGTGAATGAACTATTCTTAGAAATCATTTCCCTAGCCTGTGTGACTATCACATTTTCTCTTAGGAGTACACGATGGATGTTTTCTTCCGCCAGACATGGACTGATGAGAGGTTGAAGTTTGGGGGGCCAACAGAGATTCTGAGTTTGAATAACTTGATGGTTAGTAAAATCTGGACACCTGACACTTTTTTCAGAAATGGCAAAAAGTCAATTGCTCACAACATGACAACACCTAATAAACTCTTCAGAATAATGCAGAATGGAACCATTCTGTACACCATGAGGTGAGGTTTCTTCAATTGTATTTCCTCTACCCAAAGGATGTGTCCATCATACTAACTCAGAGTAATTTATTTCAATGTTCCCAGGCTAACCATCAATGCTGACTGTCCAATGAGGCTAGTGAACTTTCCTATGGATGGGCATGCTTGTCCGCTCAAGTTTGGGAGTTGTAAGTTATAAAAAGCTTCTGAGAGTCATATAATGCATGAACAGTATGTAATTATTTAGAGACGAAAAAAAAAAACAAGAAAGAATATTACTGTGCCACTTTTAGTGTAATTCTGAGAATATACTACTTAATCATGTCTAATAGCATCATAAATACAATTTTAGTTACTGGGATTAAAGAAAACATTGAAGAAAATCTCTGTTGGTATTTCTCATATAGACACTACCTCCTCCTCTGAAGGCAAGGCAACTAATATGATTCACTATTTTGTATAATTTGTTTCAAAAATTCAGATGCTTACCCCAAAAGTGAAATCATATATACATGGAAAAAAGGTCCACTCTACTCAGTAGAAGTTCCAGAAGAATCTTCAAGCCTCCTTCAGTATGACTTGGTTGGACAAACAGTATCTAGTGAAACAATTAAGTCTAACACAGGTAAGACTTTGACCAATGTATGAATGTTATCCTGCAAGTGACTTCAGTGCACATTTTCAAAGTATTTGTTTCTTTTTCCTCTGCATTAGCTATTTTTGGATAAGTATGATATTTTGAAATCATACGTAACATTCCTTAAAAATGTTATTGCAACCAGGTGTATATAAAGATTTGTGTGCTCTCAGATCGAGTAATTTTGTGTGGATATAACACGAAGATCTTTACTGAAAACAATGAACTGATGATGTGTATCATTGCTCCATCATCTGCTGATCAAGTACCTTCCTCATACATTGAAATATGCTTTGCTCTTTTTCTTCCAGTTCATGCTAATTTAAAAATCTCCAAGATTCATATTCAGCTGCATTTTTTTTCCTGCAGATTATCAACAACAGTAACAGTGATGTACTTGTCTTCCAACAGGTGAATACGTAATAATGACGGTTTATTTCCACTTGCAAAGGAAGATGGGCTACTTCATGATACAGATATATACGCCTTGCATTATGACAGTCATTCTTTCCCAGGTGTCTTTCTGGATTAATAAGGAGTCTGTTCCAGCAAGAACTGTCTTTGGTATGCCTCAACCTTTGTGTCCTACTTTCATTCATCCTCTACCTCTCATTGCTTATATATTTTGGGTGAATATTCACATCACTGCTCTTTTTTAATCCCCAGAGGAAATAGACTCCAAACTCATTTGGACGCATGTATCAAGATATGATATCATGATGTGATATCATATATTATATCTTATCACAAGTTACGTGGTGAATCAACCTAAAATTTACCTCAGGAAGAAT